AACATTTCCAGCAACGAAGGACATCCTATCTTTTGCACAATCTCACAGGGAATCCACCTCATTTCTTTGAAATATATAAGCTATAGACTTTTGGTTCACTATCTTTAACACGTCATGAAATTGATTAAATTCTGTCTATGTCTTGAGCTGAATTCAGTTTAAATTAATATGAATTTTGTGGAGTCCACTAATGTGTTAACCACGTTATATATTTTCTGACACTGAAGGATCATTGCATTCCTAGAATAAATCTAAATTGGTCAAAACTGATTGTTTTTATAATGTACTGTTAGATTCAGTGACTGTCTCTGGAAATACAAATGAACCAACCTCATAAAATGATCTCAAAAATGCTGTTTCATTCTGTTTTCTAGAATCACACATGTAAGAGGCATAATCTGCTCCTGGAAATGTGGGAGGATGCCCCTAACGGCAATATGATCAGGACAGGGCCTTTTGGAAGGCGATTCTTTGCTTCCCATGACAATTTCTTTGATATTCTCTACTCTATTTTAGTTTTCTATTTCTTCCTGTCGTTTTGACCTTTATATCTTTCTAGAAATGTATCCATTTTATCTAAATTTTCAAATTTATACGTATAGAGTTGGTTGTAAGATTTTTGCATATTAAAATGTGTGTACAAATAGTCATTTCCCCTTTTCATTCTGAATCTCCTGTATTTTCCTTAGGAGTCTCTCCAGAGGTCTCATTAAGTTTTCATTGCCTCAAAATTTGATTTTGTTTGTCTTCCCTATTTTTATATTTCATTGAATTCAGCTTTTGCCCTTATTGTTAACGTGTATATTCTTTTTTCTGTTTTTCTACTTTTCCATCCTCTTAATCCACATAATTATCTTGTTTGTTTTCAGTCATTTCGCTCTAACAAAATTGTTTAACAAATAGTCTGACATTCTATGCAGCATTTTGAATGAACTTATTTCATCTTTCTATAAAGACTAAACATTATGTTTTCAGTTATTTCCTCTCCCTCCGCTATTTCCCTGACTTTCTAGATGTCTAATTATCAAGATGTCAGATGTCTGTTTCTATCCTTCATTTCTCTTCACTTTTCCTTTACATTTTCTATTGTTTACTCCATCATATTTTCCTTGGGGCAGTTTCTTAGCCTGACTTTTTGCTTATTAATTACCCTTCAGTTGCAAAAGTCCTATTTATTATCTCATTTATTATGTTTCTTATTCCAATCTTTATCAAAACTCAGTATTTGTGCTTGATTTGTCGGCTTCTTGCTTTTGCTTCAAATTTCCAAATTCTCCTTTACTTCTCTATTTAAGCCCTTTTATTGTGAGCTAGGGGACATTTGGAAGAAACACATAAACCAATAGAACGTACGTTGAATGATTATCACCACAAGCACTCATGTAACTAGCACCTGGGTGAAGAAATAGACTGTTGCCAGTATCCGTGTGCCTCTCCTTAGGCCAGGAGGTAGTTTGTAAAGTTTTCAGGAGCCAAAGGCTACTGATATCCATAATGCCTAGCATTGCTCCTGGTACACAGTAGGTCTTCCATAAATATCTCTTGTAGAAGTATTTTATTATTTATTTAATATGTACTGCTTAAATATTTTCCACTTTCAAGGATTCCCACTCATTTGAAGTTAGTTGCAGCCATGTGATTTACATTGGAAAATGAGATGCGAGAAGTGTGTTCTTTCTAGGAGGGATCATTAAGAGCCAGTGAATGATTTCTTAGGTTCCCTTCATTCTTCTGGGGGAGGTTCTGGGAGCAGAGGTGCAGGAGAAAGCCTGTCAGCCTGGCTTCCTGAGTAAGATGATGAGCAGAGCTTCCCGGACGACTTACTTTGGACGTGTAGCATGAGCCAAACCTGGATATCTGGGTGTTTGTTACTTTAGCACAGCTGATCCTATTCTTACTGTGTAAAAGGAGCTGAAGGGAAGGTGCTCAATGAGACTTCAAAGAACCTGAGGGACAGGAGAACTAGAAGGATGTTTCATCCCATAAGCCAAGTGCACAGGACTTTCAGGGACAGTTTACAATGTGATGTGCTCAAAAGGCGTCAACTGTGATAAGTGTTCACTGACCTGGTAGCAAATGGTTATTAGAATCCCTTTAAAGAGCATCTTCACAGCCCATGCCCAACTCCCACCTCCTTCCACTTTCACCATCCCCTGGCTCAGCCTCACTGCTACTTGACAAATGGGCACAAAGGGAGGATGAAATGACTTCTCCTTAGGGTCCCCCTTGATCACCATCTGGGACTGCATCATCTGTTGGGTGGACCACCTTCTCCTTAGGAGACTGTGAGGGGTAGAAAATGAAGGGACCAGGTGGAAAGCAGTGGGGGATACAACACTCAGCTGGGAGTAAGCCCACGGGGTATGTTCTACTGCATTCCATCTTTCTGAGTCAGAGGCTGACACAGGGGAGTCACCAGCTTCAGCTCTCCTTTAAAGCTCCAGTCCCAGCTTTCCTTTGAATCTCTGCTCTTCAGCCCCAGTGACTGATGTACCTCAAGACTCCTCTGCCTCCTGGCTGCCTTTGATCCTGCTGCACATAGCACTCAGCAAAGGGCCTGACTCTTAGAAAACACTATAAATATTGAAAATTTGAAGTCTAGTGACAAGGTGGTCCCCAATTTGGATGGTCTCTCAGCTCTTGTCTCCTCTGGGACCTCTCTCTGCACTGTATTCTTCCTTAGAAATCCCAGAGTTTCATAAACACCTGCATATGTCACAGTGAGACATGTCTGATGTCTTCTTTCTGTGACTGCAGGACCTTTCCTTATCTCCTTATACCGTCAGTTCCCTAAGAGCACATATCCTGTTCCTGCAATGTGGGTGCAGATCCCTCAGCTTCTGATCCTGCCAGGTGTGAGTCCAGAGATTGTTCACTCCACTCTGGGTACTCCCTAACCTGTAACGTGGGTACAGGTGACAAGCATGGAACAGAATGACTCTGATGGGATATGGTTTGGAATGTTGACTGCTCATGGCTCTGAGGGTAGAATTTATGTGCTCTGGGTCTGAGGATTTCATAGTCATCTCAGTTTGAAGACTTTCTGCTATTCTCATGACCTCCTTCCATCGTTGAATCCCTGGATTAAAATCATATTAATTTTCTGCTGCAAAGGTTTCTCACAAGTTTCCTGTGAAGCCAAAGTGAAAATAAGACAGATAAAGGGTCCTCATTTATTTACTATATACTGGCCTCATTACCCCATTATGTGACAGCTGAAATTACTACACAGAAACAAGTCAGTAGCATTTTCCTTTATAGTTTTTGAGGAAACGAGGCTGAGCAGGGATAAGGATGTTTTAAAAAGAAAAAATGATTGTGTCCTATTCCCTAGGTTAAGAGGATTATGAGACATAATTTGTTATCCTTATGGGTGGCTTCTCTTTCCTGACTCCCTCACTTAGTCCATCCTCTCTGTAGACTCCAGCTATATTTACTTATATCTGTGCCAGTGAAGCCCAAGTCTGTACCTTCAGCCCCACCTTTCTTGGAATTGGAGGCAGCCGGTCCCCATATGGTGGATATTATTTGCAAGGGGAGGTGGGCAAGAGGAGCACAGTAGTTTTTGCGAATTGACCAGGGACAGGCGCCCAGGGACACACAAGGCCCAGAAGATGCTTGTAAGAAGCCAGGGAGACTGAAGGCATCAACTGGACATATCAGAGAGCTGCTGTGCACTGCTTATGTGTATCAGGAGTGAAGAATCCATCCTCTACACAAAAAAGAAAGTTTACAACAAACATATCCTCTACCTTGACTGAAAGGTGTCAATATGAGACGCAAAACACATAACAATGTTGGATTGTTAAAAAAAAAAAACAAAAAGGCCAGTGTTTGAAGAAAAGTGCTACACGTATTTCTTTGCTCTTTCCCTAGTGCAGAGGCATTTCTGTCTGTATGAAAATGAAGACAGGAGGCCTAGGCTGGTGGATGAATGCAAACTTAGACGACAAATGACGTCTACTGAATGCATTAGAAAGGCCAAGTCATATTTGGTTAAGTAGTAGTTGTGATGGCATGCAAAGAAAATGGTTAAAGTGTATTAGATTTATAAAATTTATAATTTTAAATTCTGATATTAATTTAACTTCTTAATAGTAATGATAAAACATCCTCTTAGTAAGGTATATGTTGAATTAGTGCTGTGTGAATACAGGCAGATTTGCAGTCTGCTCACCATGGAATAGCTAAGAATAGTGGTCAGAGACCTAAATGGAGGAAGGCACTAAACTTGATTTGGGGGCAGCTCACTGAAATACAGTCAATTCAGAAGAGTGCCATGTCTAACAGGCCTCATTATACAATAGTTAACACATCCCCATTTTCATGGTTCTCTTCTTTCCTACATGTAAACCAAAATGAACTTCTTTATTAACTTCTACTGTTTACTAAAACCCTCAGAGAAAAGTGACGAGAGATGATTTGGTGCATATTTTTAAAGGAAAACAAACACTCATGTTGGATTTTGATTATTTGTGGTGCTAAGAAGAAGGGAACATGGTTGGAGGCCCAATGAGAGAAACAGTACTTTGGATCAAAGAGCAAAACGATAGAAACTGACTTCAGAGCAACTTCGTGGCAGCAGTATCCTCTTGGGAAGCTGGAGGTCTGTCCTGGAACCAGGTGCTAACGAAACAGCAAATGCTTGTTCTAAGGCACATTAGTCTTTTCAGTGAGGTCAGGAACCCTGTGGGGGTAAAGGACAAGTTATCCCAGGTTGCGGGCCTCCTTTCTTTAAGTCCAAGAGAGAAAAATTATGGTGAGAGGCTGAGTCTCAGGCTAATAAAGAACAGAGTTGATCTCTGCTTCCTTCAGCAATGGAGCCAAGCAATGCTCTTTCCCCACTCACCCGAGAGCTGAGGTTGAAAGAGGGGTTCAGGCCTGAGATTCTCTTCCTAGAGGAGCCTCAGTGCCACATTGCACAGAAAGGACTCATATCCTCCTGCAACCCACCCCACAAGGAAATCAAAGCAGGAATATTACCTGTTTATACAGATCCTCGTTGAACTGAAATGAAAGAGGAAAGGTTTTGTATTCAGCCATTGAAACCACCTCAGATAATTTGAGAAACATTTCCATCCCACCAACTTCCATTGGCCATCACTCAATGGACGCCTCGCAGGAGCCTGAGTACTTGGGACCTCATGCATCTGGCTGCATTAAGATCCCAGCCTGGGATACCTCTCTCGCTATAGGTCATGTTTGTTCCCCGACTATCTGATTTCAGTGGCCTCTAGAGCTTTCTGACTTTTCTTTTCTGTCTGAACCCCTCATCATGGAGTAAGTGTGAATATGCCAGGGAAAGGTAAGTCCTGCTCACCCTGCAGGTCTTCTCACCTTTCTTGCTTCTCCTGTGCATGAAGATGCCCACTCCACAGATGATGAGCCCCAGCACGAAGCCCCCGGCTCCCGTCAGCATCTTACTCCGGGCAGAATCAGACTGTGCCTCTGGGAAGGACAGACCCAGGTTTAGTGTCACCTTCACCAGCTGCGCCCCTATTCACGTCCTGTCTGAAATTCTGGAGCCTGATGCAGAATATCAGGACGAGGACTGTGCCAGGGGAAAAGCTTGCTTAAGAGGAAATTCAGAAAGAGCCACCCTCATATCTGGAACAGAGGGTGTGATCTCAACCAGGTGGCAAATGCTGATTCTGGAAGTTGCCTCTCAAAATGCCTAAGAGGCTAAAATGCTGAAGGAAGAGATCCGTTCCTATGTGTGAGGTCAGTTCAGGAAGGTGTCTGTGTCCCTAGATTCTCTGACAAGGAGAGGAACTATGAATCCTTAGGACCCCTAGGCCAGGGTCAGGCAAGTCTCCATTGCCCCAGTTTGAAACTACGCTCAGGAGTCCGTACAGAAGAAAGATGGCGTTGGACATGGCCCCAGGGTATAGACGCAGAAGACAAGATAAGTGGACCCCCAGAGCCAGAGAGTCCCTGCTCTTCAGAGGTGGGGTCTAGAGGGTCATCAGAGACTAACTCACTCCACTCCACGGTGACAGGACTGTCCAGGCTGGGGTGCTCCACTTGGCAGGTATAGACGTCTCCCTGCTGGGGGGTCATTTCCAGCATCACTAGGATCTGGAAGGTCCAGTCTCCATTACGGATCAGGTTGGTGGACACGACCCCAGCTGTTTCCTCCTGTCCATTCAGGAACCACCGGACTTGAACGCTGCCTGGGTAGAAATCTGTCACATGGCAGACGAGCAGGTTGTGGTGCTGTAAGGGCCCTTTCTTGGAGGGGGCGATGTTCACCCTTGGCTGGACTAGGAGTGGAGAAGAAAAATAATGAAATAGCGTTTGAGATTGTCCCTCCTTTCCTTCCTTCCTTCCTTCCTTCCTTCCTTCCTTTTTTTTGAGGCATAATCTTGCTCTTTTTTTCATTCTTTCTTTTTGCTGAGATGGAGTCTTGCTCTCTTGCCCAGTCTGGAGTGCAGTGGCGCAATATTGACTCACTGCAACCTCCAGCTCCTGGGTTCAAGCAATTCTCCTTCCTCAGCCTCCCGAATAGCTGGGATTATAGGTGCCTGCCACCACACCTGGTTAATTTTTGTAATATTAGTAGAGACAAGGTTTCTCCATGTTAGTCAGGCTGGTTCTCTAGGAGCACTTGACCAACTCCTGACCTCAAGGGATCCACCCACTTGGCCTCTCAAAGTGCTGGGATTACAGGCCTGAGCCACTGCATCTGGCCAGATCATTATTTCTTAGGCATGTTCACTATGTAATTGATCCTAGATGTTGAAAATAGGAATAATGTGATTAGCCTAGTGGGTAAGGGTAGCACTGAAAAGATAGAAATAGACCTGTCTCTTATACACATCTAGATGTGTATAAGAGCCACAAGGAAATCAAAGCAGGAATATTACCTGTTTATACAGATCCTCGTTGAACTGAAATGAAAGAGGAAAGGTTTTGTATTCAGCCATTGAAACCACCTCAGATAATTTGAGAAACATTTCCATCCCACCAACTTCCATTGGCCATCACTCAATGGACGCCTCGCAGGAGCCTGAGTACTTGGGACCTCATGCATCTGGCTGCATTAAGATCCCAGGCTGGGATACCTCTCTCGCTATAGGTCATGTTTGTTCCCCGACTATCTGATTTCAGTGGCCTCTAGAGCTTTCTGACTTTTCTGTCTGAACCCCTCATCATGGAGTAAGTGTGAATATGCCAGGGGAAGGTAAGTCCTGCTCACCCTGCAGGTCTTCTCACCTTTCTTGCTTCTCCTGTGCATGAAGATGCCCACTCCACAGATGATGAGCCCCAGCACGAAGCCCCCGGCTCCCGTCAGCGTCTTACTCCGGGCAGAATCAGACTGTGCCTCTGGGAAGAACAGACCCAGGTTTAGTGTCACCTTCACCAGCTGCGCCCCTATTCACGTCCTGTCTGAAATTCTGGAGCCTGATGCAGAATATTAGGACGAGGACTGTGCCAGGGGAAAAGCTGGCTTAAGAGGAAATTCAGAAAGAGCCACCCTCATATCTGGAACAGAGGGTGTGATCTCAACCAGGTGGCAAATGCTGATTCTGGAAGTTGCCTCTCAAAATGCCTGAGAAGAGGCTAAAATGCTGAAGGAAGAGATCCGTTCCTATGTGTGAGGTCAGTTCAGAAAGGTGTCTGTGTCCTTAGATTCTCTGACAAGTGGGGGAACTATGAATCCTTAGGACCCCTAGGCCAGGGTCAGGCAAGTCTGCATTGCCCCAGCTTGAAACTACGCTCAGGAGCCCGTACAGAAGAAAGATGGCGTTGGACATGGCCACAGGGTATAGACGCAGAAGACAAGATGAGTGGACCCCACAGCCAGAGAGTCCCTGCTCTTCAGAGGTGGGGTCTAGAGGGTCATCAGAGACTAACTCACTCCACTCTACGGTGACAGGACTGTCCAGGCTGGGGTGCTCCACTTGGCAGGTGTAGACGTCTCCCTGCTGGGGGGTCATTTCCAGCATCACTAGGATCTGGAAGGTCCAGTCTCCATTACGGATCAGGTTGGTGGACACGACCCCAGCTGTTTCCTCCTGTCCATTCAGGAACCATCGGACTTGAATGCTGCCTGGGTAGAAATCTGTCACATGGCAGACGAGCAGGTTGTGGTGCTGTAAGGGACCCTTCTTGGAGGGGGCGATGTTCACCCTCGGCTGGACTAGAAGTGGAGAAGAAAAATAATGAAATAGCATTTGAGATTGTCCCTCCCTCCCTCCCTCTCTTCCTTCCTTCCTTCCTTCCTTCCTTTTTTTGAGGCGTAATCTTGCCCTTTCTTTCTTTCATTCTTTCTTTTTGCTGAGATGGAGTCTTGCTCTGTTGCCCAGTCTGGAGTGCAGTGGCGCAATATTGGCTCACTACAACCTCCAGCTCCTGTGTTCAAGCAATTCTCTTTCCTCAGCCCCCTGAATAGCTGGGATTATAGGTGCCTGCCACCACACCTGGTTAATTTTTGTAATATTAGTAGAGACAAGGTTTCTCCATGTTGGTCAGGCTGGTTCTCTAGGAGCACTTGACCAACTCCTGACCTCAAGGGATCCCCCCACTTGGCCTCTCAAAGTGCTGGGATTACAGGCCTGAGCCACTGCATCTGGCCAGATCATTATTTCTTAGGCATGTTCACTATGTAATTGATCCTAGATGTTGAAAATAGGAATAATGTGATTAGCCTAGTGGGTAAGGGTAGCACTGAAAAGATAGAAATAGACCTTCAAGTAGAGCATGCATGATCTTGAACAAAATAATAATTAGTAAGTATATAGGGGAATGGCAGGGAGACAGTTTGCACTCTGTAGTGCATTTAGGAGAAATTTTAACTAAAGTAATTTGGGCGAAGAATATTTAACCAACTGTGAAATTACCTATCTTTTCAAAGTTCTATCTTGATACAAAGGATGCAAAATTTACTCAAATAATATCTTGAAATTAAGATATACAGACAATGGAATTATGGTGGCCTGTTAATCTAAAAACTTTATTTCATGAAAATACAAAGAAAATGAAGAGAGCGTGACATGTCTTATTCTGTAAATAACCTATGTATTTTTTTACCTCACCTACAAAAACTCAAAATCTTCATATTTACAGAATATCCTGAGCCCCTACATGCTTGAGTAGTAGAAATCCCATCCTTTTCTGAGTTCCTCCTCTGTGCTGTGTCTTCAGGTCCCGTGAAGGTTTCACAGATGACCAGGTGTTGCCTCCCTCTGCATCTCTGCATTTGTGCCCCAGCTTGTTCTGTTGTTCTCAGGTCAATTTCCACAACTGCCACCTGCAACTTTTCTTTTGGATCTCTGCCACCAGTACCTTTTTCCTCCTCAGAAGGCAGAAAAGGCCAGGCAGGGTGGTCATGCCTATAATCTTAGCACTTTGGGAGGCTGCAGCATGAGGATCACTTGAGCCCAGGGTTTCGAGACCAGCCTGGGCAACATAGTGAGAATCCATCTCTAAAAAGAAAAGTAAATTAGCTGGACATGGTGGTACCTGTATCTGTAGTTCTAGCTACATGGGAGGCTGAGGCAGGAGGATCACTTAAGCCCAGGAGGTTGAGCCTGCAGTGAACCATGATGGTGCCACAGCACTCCAGTCTGGGAGACAGAGTGAGAACCTGTCTCAAAAACAAACACAAATACAAAACAAAAAACGAACATAGAAAAGGGTCAAGTGCCCCTAGAGAACGGCTCATTCAGGGAAATCCAATAGAGAACAGCTCATTCAGAGGAATCCCCTAGAGAACATCTCATCAAGAGATGTGTCTCAAATTAGTCTTCTAGGTCCCTAATCACTCAGTTCTTTCCTTTCTACTTCCGGAGAACAAAAATACCCTGACATGGGGCTGGGCCAGGTGAAAGCACTGTCTTGAACTGACCCACAACCTTCACTCCCTATTGTATTTTTGCCTTATTCACAGACTGATCCACATTGCCAACCTCTTCCCTCAATGAGAGTTTATTTCAGGGGCAACTGGGTCTCACTACTTCATCACCTCTGTAAACTCGGCATCCATTAGACTATTCAACCCATGTCTAAATCTCAGTTGTGAATTACGTACAATTTCTTCCCCATAGAGCTCGTGGGAACCATGAAATCAGGGGGAATACTTGAGTGTCTGTTTTAAGGTCCTAGAACATTCCATGAGAGGCATCTTGCTCAATATTCTTTGACGGGAGCTGGTCAGCCTGGAGCACATCAGCAACCTCCAGGGGGTACTGGAGCTAAGGCTTGATACCCAATGGCCTCATTTCTGACCCAGTTCAAATACATTTCACCAAGGCAATGATTCCTGTTTGTTACAGTTGCCTTCTCTAATGCCCAGAAAACATTTGCTCAATTACCTCTAGATTTGGGTGGGCATCCACATTGGAATTGTCACTACTCCCTTTCCTCCCCCTTCCGACCTCTCCCCTGCCTCTGTGTTTTCCCTGTTCTAATTCATGCCTTCATTGCAATTTCCCTGACAAATAATAGCAGTTTCCTACCTCATCTCCCTGCCTCTCATCCCTCCTCTACCCAGCATCCTTAACTGTGTTCTGAAGACACAGCTCCAACCTTGTCTTTTTCAATTTTCAAAAATCTTCAGTGTTCTGACAATACTTATCTGGCTACATGGGAACCTCTAGGGAGCTGATTACAAACAGATCCCCAGACCTCACCACCCAGGAAATCTGAGTCTAGGGGCAGTGAGTCTGGGGATCTGTGCATCACAGAGGATCTCCAGGAGAGTCTTCTGAGCAGTGAGGTTGGGGACCTGCAGGTCTAGAGGAGAAACCCACACTCCTTAGGCTGGCATCAGGGCTCTCTGCAATCTGGCAGTTGATTACTGTGAAAGAAAATGCTGCCACGTAGCTGATTTGTGCATCTACAAAGTCTTAGTAACAGTTTTCGCCAATTGCATTAGTTTTCTTTGGGCAACTCTCTCAACCATTACCTCAGCAACTTTCCTAAGCTCATGTCACTCACCTCATCCCCACCCAGTATGTCCACCTTCTCACTCCTAGCAGGTGCACTTCCTTCCACTTTCCAGGAACAAGGAAATCAAAGATGTGATCTCCCCAGCTTCCTCCTCCTCCTCCCTTCTTTTCTTCCTGTCTCTAGGAAAAAGTCCCAGGGCTCAACCCCACACCCTGATGCTGCTCTCTCAAGTCCCTCAGGTTGGTGCACCAGGCTCCCCACTCCACAAGTTCACAGGAGGAAGCCAAAGCTCCAAGGCCCTCCTGTCTCATCCTTAAGAAATCCTCTTACTGCACACATCTCACCTCTCTCCATCCCTTTACACCCAGACTTCCTGAAGGAAAGGATGAATGAGCTCAGACACTGCCCTGTGCCAGCCATGGGGAGCCCAAGACAAATAAAATCCATCTCAACCCCGAGGTGGATGCGCCACACTCAGCCTTATCCACCGCCTCCCATTCCAGCTCGCACCACCGCAGTCAACCTGCTCTCCCCAGGTGTCCCTGGTTTCCAAACCCACTTTCCATCTTCTGTTTTCTGACCTTTCCAAGTCACTGGCACTGCTGTCCACTATGCTGCTGAGGTCCCCTCCCCTCAGCCTCCAGGACTCTTCTCTGAGGGCCTCTCCTCACACTGCACTTGGTTTTTTGTTTGTTTTTGTTTTTTTTGTTTTTTTTTTTTTTGGTCTCTTTCACAGACTTTTCTGTCTTGGCCAAATCACAACTGTCCAGTTGCCGGGATCCAGCCCTTTGCTCTTCCCCCAGGGTGGTCTCCTGGGTGGTCTCATGTAGCCCAGTCTCCTCCGTGGCTGCAGACCCTTCTGTTTACCTTCCGCTCAGACCATCCATCTGGCCACTCAAGCATCTCAAACCCAGGGGTCTCCCTGCAGGTTTCTTCTCTGCCTGGCCTGCTGTATCATCTCCACCTCCATCTCCACACCACACCCCTGCAAGCTCTCCTGTGGCCTCCTTTCCTTTCATCCCACATGCAGGCAGCTGCCAGGCCTGATGAAGTCCAGGGGGTCTCTCTGCTCCCATCCTCCTCATTCCATGCTCAGCCCAGTCCAGGTCCGCACGCTCCCTCCCCTGACATGCTCCAGATGGGCTCCCCCATGAATGCCCAGCCCAAAGTCCCCTTTCCACCTGGCACTAAGGTCCCTTAGGCCGGCCTGGCTGCTTCTGGGCCCTGGGCACGGGCCCCCGTGTCTGCCCTGGGACCCCCGGCCCAAAGCCCTCACTCACCTCGGCGCTGCAGGGTCACGGCCTCGTCCAGCTCGTAGTTGTGTCTGCACATCGTGTCCACCACTGCCCGCTTCTCCTCCAGGCGGTCCTTCTGGCTGTTCCAGTATTCCGCATCAGGCCGCCCCAGCTCAGTCACCGCCCGGAACTCCCCCACGTCGCTGTCGAAGCGCGCGTACTCCTCCCGGTTGTAGATGTATCTCTCCAGGTAGCGCTGTGTCCCGTTAATCGCGTAGCATTCCTGCCGTCCCTGGTACAGGTAATTCTCTGCGGGGAGGGGGCGGACATGAGCGGGGGCGCCACTCTCACCTAATCCCCTTTCTTCCCCCTTCTCTCAATTTTAACGATGCTTCCCAAATCTTCCTACGCAGGGCTGGATTTTAAAATAGGAGTTTTCCTAGTACCGAGTTCTGTGGTCCTAGGCAGGTCGCTGAGCCTCTCCAGGCCTGTTTTCTCACCACACAGAGAGAATTTACTGAAAAGAATGAGATTCACTGCTCAGGGGGACTGAGTGATCACTAGGGAGGGGCGAACACTGAGGGGAAGGCAGTCCCTTCTGCTGGCAGCTGGAGGAGGAGGGGGAGACGTTTCACGTGGGGTCGCTGGGAGAAAAAACAGGGGCGGGAGGAGCTGGGGACGTGGAGGGCGGAGCTGCTCCCCCTACTCAACTCCCTGCCTGACATTTCCATCCTGATATTAGTCCTGGTTCAAATGCCACCTCCTCCAGGAAACCCTCCCTTCCTTCTTTCTCTTTTCCACAGCTAGGCGCTCTCTCTTCTCTACCAGTTTCTTGAGAATTCCTCAACCTGCTCCTGTTGTTTTGCATTTAGGAAATGTAGAAATATATTTCTTAAAACTTTCTTCAACTTTAGTATAAGAAAGACTCTGTAGCCTGAAAGCTAATTTTCAAACATGGCTGCAGAAAGACTTGGTGTCAAAAGATGTGGAAAATATTTTAAACAATGAAAATCACCACAACAACCAGGGACCTGTTGGGGTGGAGTCCTTTGGGTTTAGAGGAATTGATCTAATTTTTTTGGACAGTTTTTATGGTTTTATTTAAACACAAAACGTGGACGTGAACTTTCTCTCATTTTCTTTGCTGTGCACCCTGGCATTGCAGTTGATGACTGACGGCCAGCTGGGTGACTCTTTCCACAATGGCTTTGCAGTTCTTGGAGGAAACTGTGAGCCATCTCAACACAGTAAGATTTGTTGCACATCAGCAGCACTTTCAGCTCCTTGATGTTGTGGACCAGAAACTTCTGGAAGCCACTGGGCAGCATGTGTTTTTTGTTGTTGTTGCTCCCATAAGCAAGATCTGGGCATCAAGATCTGACCCCTGAACCTTCTAAGAACCCTGTTGTCAAGACCTCTGGGTTTCCGCCAGTTACACTTAATTTTGAGATTTCAGTCTGAGTGGTGCTGCATTAACTTGTTGGTCCTCTTTTTGAGGATCTTGGGCTGCATGAGGAGTCTGAGGGAGGCCACGATGTGGAGGAAGAGATGGCTGCCAGCTCCATAGGCAGCACCAAGGAAGACAGCATTGATGTAATTTTTACATAAAGAACTTTGGCAGCCTTTCCCACATGCTGTTGTTCCTAGGGAGGCCAGTGAGCAGTGTCTGGCAGGTGTGTGTCTACACAGAAGTATTAGTGACGTGGCACATGTTTGTTTCTGTTTGAGTCTCTTCAGGCCTGCTCTGTTCTTGGGCACATTGGGGAAATTAAGGTACTGTGATTGTTCTGCTCATCTGTTTCATGCTCCACAAATTAACTTCTCCAGTTTATTAACATCAACCCTCATAAAAGCTGCATAGCTAGTCGCAGAGGACAGTGGAGATGGAGTGGGGCTGGGCTCAGGGGCACCATAGAGTCCACCTTTAGTCTCCAGTGTCATTGCTAAGGCAAGATCCCAGGCCTTGACTCAGATATCCTGACCTGCCTCTTCTCCTGGTGCCTTGGGCCCCAGCCCCATAAACTTCCAGACCCAGCGCCCTCCAGCTCCTTGAGACCAGATTCCTCCTCCTCTGCCATCTACCCGCCCCTCCCTGTTCAGTTGCCCCGCTCTGAGTGTGGATTCTCCCATTTTCTTTTGTTAGTCTTTGTTTCTCCTCTTCAATCACCAGTAAAAGAATATTTTTTCACTCAAGAATAAGAATTTTGAATTTTTTCTTTGCAGCATTTAATTCCTTTTTTATTTACCCAGTCTTAGGTAATTTTTAAAATACATTTAACTTTTGAAATGGAATTTTATCTGCCAAGGAGATATAAGCGATGAGGGGTTTTGTGGTATAATTTGAAATCTTCATGGTTTGTTTTTGTTTTTTTTTTGTATATAAGAAACTTTACCCTGTTTCTTAACAATTGAGTTGCCCAGAGCACAGTTTGAAACCACTGATCTGAATGAATTCATCTCTCACTCAGAACAGGAGATAGTAAAAACCTCCAGCTCCCTATGGATTGTCTCAGCCAAGCTTTCCTCCCTCAGCCTCTTTAAGCCACAGGCTGGCTCCTCAGCCCTTTTCTCTTGTGCCCTGTTTGAAGTTTGGGATGTGTGTGGAGTTGTAAGAGCATACGGGGAATTGTGGAATCAGCCCTGCCCTCTCTACCCACTCCCCTATGGCTCCAGCTCTCCCTCCAGCAGGTTTTGATTGAACATTCATTCTACGCAGGGAGCTCCGGTAACACACCCTCAGTCCCTGTCACATGGCTCCACTGCCTCATCTCATTCCCCCTACAAACCTCAACCCAGCCTTTGCCCCTCCGCCTGTTCACTGCCAGCATCACATGCCCCCTTCTGCTCTCTGCTCCCCAACCTCTGGGTTTCCTTGGTGGCTCCCAACACTGTCGCTCATCCCACATAACAGCTCTGCCTATGGGATGGGGGTGCTGCATCCCCTCACCTTCTGCTGGACACTGTTCAGTGTCACCTGCGCTGCTCCAGCCTCCTTTCTCCCCAGCCTCACCCCTCTGCAGTTCCCAGGGCTAAGCCGTCCTGTTGGTTAGTTCTCAGCATCCCTCTGTGCCTACAAGTTCAAGTTCTCCTACCCTTCCTGGACAATGAACCCAAGGTAATAGATAAGAGGTATTAGGGTTTGAGGGGCTGTATTCAGGAGATCCCAACCTTGCTACCCTGAAAGATGAGGAGGTGACATGATGTCAGTACCGTCTAGGTGTGTGCTAGGAGGGGTGTGGAGGGGTCTAGGAGGAAGGGTGTAAGCAGGAAAGGTGGAAGTCAGTGGAAAACTAAGGTATCTACTTTGCAGTCCTTCCTCTCAGAGTGTTGGTGTAAATTTGGACTAGAAATATCCTGAGAGTATCTTGAGAGAAAAACAATGGATCATAGATGCCATAATATTACACCAGCCACAGGGAGGCGGCAGGAAGAAGATATTTTTCACTTGGTTACTGCTTTCTCGGCTGTCTGATAACCTGCACTCAATCCCTGTCACGCACCCACACAACCTCATCTCATTCTTCCTACAAGTCTCAACCCACTCTAGTACTCTTACCAAGTTCTGGGGAGGCTGGGAGAAGTATCTTTAATGAGAATGCCTTCAGGGGCTAGAACCTGTCCCCAACCTGCCCTCCCATCTTGCCTTCATTGTCCAAGGAGCATGGGCTCCTGCTACACCCTGGGGAATGAGAGGCATTCTTCATGAGCACTGAATCCTCAGTGATCCTCAGAGCCTGGACACTCCAGCTTAGGGATTTCTGCCTGAGTCCCCTCCAGGCTAGATGCAGATGTGAGCACACCCGGGAGCCTGCACTTGCCAACCTCTCTCTCTGTAAACATTGTCCATCAAGTTTATCCTGGATCTCTTGGCCCCATTTTCCCAAAGACAAGCATACTGACCACTGGGCATCTCTCTCTGTTTGCTGTACCCATGTCCTTGGAAAGAGAATAGGCCTGTAGGGTAGCAAGCTATTCTATACGGGATGAACCTCTTCTCTAGCTGGGAAGGGAGGACACTGCCTTAGGGCAGGAGCCCCTGCAGCCTGTCTCAGAATTTGATCCCTTAAAGAGAAAGTCCCCTAGGAATTGTTCCCTGAGCCAGACCCTCCAGGAATGGCAGCTCTTCTCTTACCTGGAGTGGCCCTGCCCTGGACCACAGATGTGAGCAGCACCATCAGTAATGCCGTCAGAGCCACTGTCCTGGGGGCTGCAGAAACCTGCAGAACCATCATGGAGCTGGAAAAGGATGGCAAAATGAAAAGAGCTGCAGTCAGGAAAAGAAGGACTCACTAAAGGGGGCTCCTGTCTGAAATATTAGAGACCATGAACCCAAGTAGTCTTCTATGACCCTGGGATTGGACAGAGTCTGAGAAAAGAACCAATGGGCACTGAGCTTTGTATGAGTCATCACTCGCCGGGCAGACGGTTAGTGTTAAGGTTCTGAAAATATAAAGCCTGGGATGCAGTTAAGATGACAGATGGAGGACGGTGACACCCATTTTAAGCAGTCAAGTAAGTCATGAGGTTGGGGGAGATGATGTGTTTTGTTTGCTCTGACGCTGATCTCAAATATTCTGCTGGTCCACCTACAGGGATTATCATTTTCCCAATTCTGCCACACCTCACACACCCACAGGACATGGTCTGTTGTGGAAGAAATGCTATCTCAGTGTGTAAAAGGTCATTCAGTGGCATGGTTTAGAGGGATTAGAGTACCCATCCCAGAACTCAAATGAGGCCTGGAACCTGTCTGTCTTGCCTTTGTCCAAGGGTGTGTTTAAGATTAGCACCTATTCATATTTACTTTCTCCCAGAGGTCTGAGTCCTGAGATGTGCAGGAGATATCAGGTTCTTCCACAGGACTGTCATCAGGGTCAGCAGGGCTCAGTCTAGGGACCTTACACCGGGAGCATGAACACACCACCCACCCTGCCATGACAGTATGCAGCTTTAAGGACACCGCCTCTTTTGGACTTCGATTCCTTGTCTTCAATATGGAGATGATATAACCTGCCTCATAGCAAAGCTCTTAAGTCAAATGAGATCAATAGGTCTGAAATTGCTTCAGAAAAATAAAGTCCATAGAGAATATAAATTGACTAGTAAATAAGGAAGAAAGTGGAAAAAAAAAAAACAACAAAAAACATCAAAGACCCCACCTCCTTCAAAGCATCTGATTCTATTCTGTTTATAGTGAATATTTTTACAAACTTTCAAAGAACATTACTTCTTACTTAGACACTTATAAATGTGATCCTGTAGGACCACCAATTCTAATTTCAAAAAAGAATCAAATTGGCATCAATTATTTAAATTGATATTAAAATGTAAATAGAAGGCTGGCATGTAAAATGCAAAAGAAGAAAATAATTTGTAGTAGAAGATGTCCAGTAGGATTGAGGGGCCAGGAGAGGATTGTGGAGAAAAGCTCAGTTTTTTTTAGTAACTGCCTGGGTGGGACTCTTCTCCTTGTCATTTACCTGCCGCAGATAATTAGACAAATACTTAATTCCTCGATGTCTCAGGTAATTTACTTTTACAGTAGACATTAATAATACCTCCCTCAGGTTTAATGTGAGGTTTAAATGAGGTAATGCGTGAAAAGCACTAATAACAGCATCTCTCATGTACTAATCTGTTAGTAATTATTATTTATACAAGGTAAGGCTACCATAAATAAGAAAAAATATTAATGTAATATATGTACTTCATCATTACATTAAATAGTAAATGTTTTGTGATCTTCTCTGAGTATCAAAGAAATAGCTCAAAATTGAAATATTTAAAATGAGACTAGAAAAGTAATTTCTTAAATACAGTAAAGAGAATATAAAATAAAAAAATGAACATTACCTGTAACAGAAAAGCATTAGAGAAACCCTTCTTAAAAACAGGATCAAAATATGGGTGCACATTGTTACCATAGGTAATGCTGTCCTGGGTATTCTTACATGAAAATGAAATAACATGACTACTAATTTAAAGATAAAAATGTTATTACACTGTGTAAATACCAGGAAAAGTCAAATACTTTTTGACTAAGTATAAGAATACTTTTTGACTAAATACACTAAGTATACTTTTTGACTAAATACTAAGAAATCTATTAATAAAAATTATCTAGAAATTTCACTAACAAAGGTAACCAGGAATAGATAAATACTTAAAGATCAGCTTCATTCAAGTTAATTAAAACCTCTAAATAGAAATTATAACGCCTCTGCAGAAATGATTAAATAAAAAGGAGATCTCTTAGGGAGGTGGACCTGAAAGAAAGATTAATTATGTATTTTATTAGATATCACATTCATTCTTAATTATCAGCAGAAGATTTTTGTAAACTTGACAACGTAACATAAAACATTATTTAAAATACAGTGACCAAAAAGCATCAAAGATCATCTGACTGTCTGGGATGCGGGTGGGGGTTGGGAGAAGGAACATAATGGGAAACATTTGCCATCAGAAGAAGGTGTGACTTATCTTTCCACGTCTCTTTCTCTAACTCTGAAAACGAACTGTGAACTGGAGCTCTCTTGACCACGCTGGTACCTAAAATTCTCTCATCTCTTCCCCAGCACCTTCCAGCATCCTCTTTACCCAGCAACAGAGAATGTCAGCTCTGTTATTCCTCTGATTGGTGAAGCCCAGCCATGCTGACTCCTCTCCACCCATTTTGACCATTTCCAGTGCTAGAGGCCCACAGTTTCAGAGTCTCATCTGCCTCCACCCAGCCTCAGTTCATTAACACTGTTCCTGAGCTCATGGACATCAATTATAGACCCCACAACGTGTGCCCTGAAGACAGAATGTTCCAGACCAGAGCTATTGTCTTGAGAACCCTCTCCTTGGCTTTCCTGCTGAGTCTCCGAGGAGCTGGGGCCATCAAGGGTAAGTGCTCAGGAGGACACAAGAGTGCCGGGGTGAGTGTTGGGGAGGTTCACATCAATTGTTGCTTCAGGAATCAGAAATTTTAGGGGCTCATTGATCTGTCTGGCCCTCATGATAGTCTATGTTTCCTCTGGCCCTCATAATAACAGCAATAACAGCCAGAATTTATGAGATGCCTGCATAGTTTCTTTCCCCATTTATATCTCACAGGAATCTTCAATGAAGATATTATTCCCTTCATTGAGAAATCATTCCCTTTATTTAGAAATTATTTTGAAAAAACTGAAGCTCAAAAAGATGAATACATTTTCCAAGGTTACACAGCAGATCAACGTGCCAAGTTTGAAGTCCAGACCCAGCTCTGAGGGTCATACACTGCCTTCCTCAGTTTCCTGCACACAGTGATCTTCCACCAGGGCCCTGCAGGGCCCCCACACCCCTCCCATCTCTCTGGGATCCCCAGCCTCTGTCTTTTGTGGCTGCTTCACAGGAACTCCGACCTATGGGCTCTGCATTAGGAGAGAAAGTGCTAAGAGTGTTTCTGTATCCTCCCTCTCTCCTAGGACCCTACGGCTCTTCCTGGGTCTTTGTGGGTGGTCACAAGCTTTCCTCTCTCAAGACAGCAGTGTTGCATTGTCTTGATAGCCCTTGTGATTCGGGTTCTGAGAGATCTGGGACTGCAAGGCGGGCCTAGGCTTTGGATAGCTGCAAGGACTCAGCCAGAGATGGACTGTGGTGAATGCTCTTTCTTCCTGTAGCTGACATCAGAGAGAATGACATCAAGCCTGTGTATGATGCTGTCATCCCAAAACCTAGTGATGGTGAAGGTTAGAATCCATAACATACAAGATGCACACTGGCCTCAGACAGTTTTATTTAAGATATGTAGAATAAACAGGAGGTGAGGCTGTGGAGACCAGAAATATCTATTGTCCTATTCATGGTCACCTGGGTTATTTCTAATGTTATGTTACAATAAATACCACAATGGGCATCTCTTCATAGATTTGAATACTTTTTAGGATTCTTCCTAGAAATTCCTAATTAGCTCAGCTGTCTCTTCAGGGCTTCCCTGCCCCCAGTGGTTCCTTGTCTCTTAACATTTAAACATGTCCTTTACCTTAAAAACATAAGTGAAAATCAACTGATAAAAAACAACCATGACTTCAGTCTGCATCCTACCCTAGAGACACTTCCTTTGTGTCCTCACACTTGGGGCTAAGCTTCTCACTTGCCTCCGGTACATCCCTTAGGACCCTCTCATCTTGGCCATCAGGAACCTCAGCAGAAGGTCAAATCCAGTGGGTTCTTCTCAGTGCCTCTGACTTGAGTTACTGATAATATTTGCACTGTAATCCACTTATTTGTGATGAACTACCCTGTTCTTACTTTTCTCCTGTTTCCCTGGATCCTCCTTATCATCCTTTAAATCACCTCTTAATTATCATGTTCTCTCATACCCTGAGATCTCTGCAATTCTGACTTTTGGCACTCTTCCTGGAAAATCTCATCTAACCTGCACCTGCCTCTAATGACTGTCAGTTTTCTGGCCTAAACTCCTCTCCTGAGACCACCCATCATCCACAAATGTCTATATATTATTTCTCCTTAGATGACTTCCAGATCGTCTAAGTGCAACAGCCCCACAGTGAACTCAGTATC